CGGCACTATCACATCAACCTGTGATGTCCACGGATGATGGTGATGTAAGCTACGACGCTTTTGACGCCCTCGATCAGGATGTGAAAGGTAAGCTGGTTAGCTGGATCAACCTCGCGGTCGACGCAGCCTCGGCGCGTCTTGGATACGAGTATAAATTTTCAGCATTCTCGTTGCTTTTTTCATGGAACACTCCAGAACAAATATACCACATCGATTTAAGGAAGAGCGCTTATCAGTTTGCGCTGATTCTCACAGAAAGTGAAAGTACGATATATTCAGATGCCACGATGTCGCTCGACGACGCGTGCATCGAAATGGGTATCAAGCGTGTCGCGGATGAGAAACTCGCTAATTTTTCTTCCCTTCTATGCTCACTCAATAGGATCGATCATTTTCGCAAATCAATTACGAATGGCCCGGCGAAACCGGGAACGCTTTGCATGATGGGAGGCGGCAAGATTCACGCAAAGCCTGAGAACAAACGGTTCAGGGCGGTCATCTTCTTTTCCGCGTGTCCAGTTCATATGGAAGATTACGACCCGAATGAACAATACAATATATTCAGCTTACTCGACGTGCTTCATCATAAAGCTCGCTGCCCTGAAACAAAAACCATGATCAGAATGAAATTCAAAGAGCACCTTCCGTACTACGAAAACAAATACGGCAGACCCCACCTCGAGCAGGCACTCTCCCGCTTGAAGTACGAGCTGCGACGTGCGTGTTAGAATCCGAGTATGCTAGTATGGAGCATCAGCATAGTATAGCATGAGCATAGCCAGTATAAGGCAGACTTAGCATAGCCAGCATAGGCCTCAGGGCGAGCACGAGTATGTTCTGTGACGTGCGGCCCCGTCGACTTGGGGCCCGACCGAACGTGCCGGCACACCGACAAAACGCGATTTCTGGTTGTGCCGGCACACTAAGCTCCGCTAGATCTTCCGGCACACTGTGCCGGCACAAGATACACCCAGCGGGGGGTAGACGCGCGCGGAATTTTTTTCCGGTCTTTAGCCTCCCTTTAGGCCCCACTCGACCCGACTAATATCCCGGCGCGGCTAGCTTAACGCAGATAGTCCCGACCGCGCGGCTGGCGCCTAAAAAAGTTTTGCTTTTCACCTTGGTGCCATTTGGCAGTGTCCTCTCTTTCACGCACTAGTAGGACGGTGAACCAACCTGGCTGTTGGTGTTCGCATGTAGTGCCATTTGGCAGTGTCCTCTCTAACGGTGAACCAAGCTGCCTGTTGTTGGTGTTCGCATGTAGTGCCATTTCGGAGTGTCCTCTCTTTCACGCACTAGTGAAGGTCGAGCGACCCCCGGTCAATTCACGGTGTGCAACTAGGACGGTGAACCAAGCTGTCGGTGTTCGCATGTAGTGCCATTTGGCAGTGTCTTCTCTTTCACGCACTTGTGAAGGTCGAGCGACCCCCGGTCACCGGTCAATTCAGTGAAGAGTAGACCCGAGGGGCAAGGAGTACCGTCCGAGGGCGCAGCCCGAGGACGGTGCGACGCAGCCTCGAGCGGTCTACTCTGAGTGGAGTCACCCTTCCGCCTCCTGCATTCTGCTGGTCATGTTTTCTCTCTGCCGTCGCTCTGTGAGGCGTCGTCGAAGTAGGGGCCCATCGTCGACCCCCCTTATTTTAAATGAGAAAAACCCGCTATTATCCTAACCAGGTCAAAATAGTACCATACTAGTCCTAACCACTAATACGAATTAACACTCCTGTCCATACCCTTGCTAGCATTGCGTCTGACACAGCCGCCGAAGCGGCGTCGGCCCGCCTCGGCGTTTTCGAGCGGTAATGGATGCGTGGATTGTCGCAGAGTGTATGCGCGGACCCTGAGGGCTCCAGACGGGCGCTTGGAGCCTGAGTGAGCGCCTAGAGCGTTGGTGCGTCGATGTAGAGCTGTGCATCGATGTAGATCTTTTTGCTATTA